TATATATATATATATATATATATATATATATATATATATATATTTATACATATATGTATATATATAAATGTTTATGCGAATATGCCGTTCTCCAAAAAAGAGCTATAGGATTAGCAAAATACATGGTATACATACATATGTATGTATGTATGTTAAAGACGGTTCGACATGATCTTTTTCTGTTTCTGTTTCATTTTCGTTTACATTTTCAGTTGGTTTTCTGCTCTCGTAGTAATAAATATTTTTCTACAGTATTCATATCCATATGTACGTTCAGTTTATAGACATAATTGAGGTCAGCTTACATTTCCACAAACATCAAAGGTTATACACGCATGCATTCATTAATAAATTTTTGTGTAGTTGGCTAGTCTATTAGAGTTCTCGAAGCAAACGTAAACAATAATTATGTGTCTACATATTATGAAATACTGCTAGGAACTTTTGTACCCATTCAATATTGAGCTTATAAAATGCTGCACGAGTTCTTCTCGCGAAACGGATTCACCTTTTGACTAGTGAATCCACTTAACAGACAATCATCCGACTCATGATCTATCATATATTTCATCATGGTATTACACGCTTCCGACACCTGGATGCGGGGTATTCCCACCTCACGACGCAGTTGCTCATTGATGATGCGCTGCTGTTGTAAATTCGCAGCCATAATATCTAGAACGGCAGTCTCCGCAAGACCTATGGTGAAATCAATACTATTTGATGCTAGCGAATAATGTTAAGCTGCAAATAGAGGCTGTTTAGCTCTAAATAGTTAAAGTGTATGTAATACTATTTACCTTTAAAAGCTGTTTTTAGCCGCAAACTCGAGCTGCAGAATCGACGAAAAATCAATAGCGTTTGATTCAATTAACTTGTAGTCGAATGAATAACTATCGATAACAAGAGCAACAGGAGCAGCAGACGCTACAGTAGTAACAGCTGAAATGGTGCTGTCAATTTGTTGCAAAGTAAAAAACATTTTGGTATTTTTTCAATCAGTTTTATTTGAAATTGCATGTTAACATTTGTTTTAATTATTCAAAAAATATAAATATTTGAGAATATATCTATGTAGTTAGGTACCTCAATTAATTTACTACGTAAGCATGCTAAATAAATAATATTTAATATATAAATTCTGTATTCTCTCTTGCGTATTTTACTTACTCTGGCATTAAATTTGGCTGCGCAAGCTCTTTAACGTTATTGTTATTGGCTATTTGCAGGTCCTTGTTAAGCGCAAGCTGACCATTGGACTTTCTAAAAGCATTTGCCATCAGTAGTATATTCTTTGCAATACGCTCATCGTCTATGCGCTTCTGCGCCGTATGCGTGCGCTTATCGGCATTCTCCGACATTCGCTGTTCCAATGGCAAGATGGCAACTGGAATGGCTGATTCCGGATTTGTCCAAATTTCGGTGCCGGGTGTTTCTTTACCCGTGGTGGGTGAAATCGCTGGTCTTGCTGGTATCAAAGGTGAACGCACACAGACACTAATTATGGAACAAAAACAGAATTTGAATTTTATTTGCTTAGATCACTAGTCACACTCTAAATTCGTTTTTTGAAAACATGATTTGTCTATTAAATATTGTTCAATTTGTATTGTATATAGCCAATTATGCCCCAGCCCCTGCCCCCGGCGCTGGCTCGACACGTGGCTCATTGTCCTCGCTCGGTTTCAACCTATAACGAGTCAGAAAGGAGACGACAATGAGCCAGAGTGTTGTGCCCTCAATTGATGCTTCGAGTTTCGTGCTTACTTACTTGTTCACTTCCTCCAATTTCTTGAGCAGACGCTCATTCTCTCGGCATACAATCTCTTGATCCCTTAATATAGTCTCGCGCACTGTGAACAAATGATTATTCTCCTGTCGCAGCGATTCATTCTCCGCCATATACAGCTTCACAAGCTCTGCCAATTCGCTACCATCCAACTCTGGCAAACGCTCTAAGTCCATCTTTGGTACGGGAATGCCAACATCTCCAATGTGAACGCGTTCCAGTTGTAGCTCCAAGAGATTGTCCATCGGCTCTGACGCCTGATGATGCAAATTCAGCGCGGCCTTCAGATGCTCATTTTCCATCTGTAGTGCATGGATGTCTCGTTTGAGACTGAGAATGAGAGCCTCTCGCGGGTCCATCATGATGACCGGCTTTGTCCGTATACGCTTCGCTCTCGATGCATAACGCAGCGTATTCAGCGTCTCAGCGTGATTATAATGCGCCGGCGAGACGCAGGCAATCATGAGTGTAACTCCGTTCCCGGCCAGACTGTCGGCCAGCAGCTTTGTTAGCTGACTATCCCGGTACGGGATGTGTCCGCTGCGTTTCTTGTTATCGCTCAGCGACGAGATGCAGTAGCCTAGCACCATGAGACTCTTGTTGATATTGTTAGCCTCCTCCAGCGTCTTGCCCTCACTCATCGTCTTCTTCGTCAGCTCGCTTCCAGCCAAGTCTACAAAGTTAATCTTGCCGTGCTTGGAGAGAAAGACGCCGCCATCCGTTTGTTGGTCCGACAGTATGTGGACCGTTAATATCGTATGAGAACGCGATGAATGATCATTCATCGCATGCGAGCCCACAGAGCGATTTCTCATGCCTAAAGTAGGTGGGTGAGGGTTGCAATTAGCAGAGAGTTATACAGCTAAACGCGAGATTTATTCATAGTTATATAGAATTTTAAATCTGTCAAATATTTTCTTTAACTATTCATTTTTATGTCTTCTTCACTTACCCTCTTCTAACACAGCCAGCAAATCGTCTAGCTCCTCGCAGTCCACCGTAAATAAGTTCTCCACAAAGAACCCGCCCGATTTTTTGGACCAGCGCACGGCAAGGGGCTTGCGAGCGCTTCCTGGATTAAGCAAATCGATTACCTGTTCAAGAAAAATGCAAATCAATTTGAAAAATCAAATATTACGTAAAAGTTCGGTTTGTGCAATTACCTCAGTAGACTAACAAATCATCTAAAATGAAAAATAAATTTCTAGTATAGCTACGATTTGACCAATCGAGTCGTAGACAGAGGAGAAGGTGGCAGAAATGCAGGGATGACATGTTGACCTCCATCAAACAGAGGTCAATGCAATGCATACTAAAGTAGTCGAATGATATTTGCAGATGGCTCCAACGGAAAAGAAATCAGTATTAGTGCGAACCAATTTCGATTGGATATTAAATTAAGTTCCCCTACGTACACAGGTCAAAGACGATGTGTTCTGTAAAACTACATATGTACATATGTACAGTGACGAACTAAATTATTGTCACAGTAAGCATTTTAAACTTTATAGCAAATTTAAGTATTTTATACGTTTTTTTTAACAAACAAAAATTGCCTAAATAGATTAGGGTATTTATTATATCATACAAAATCAAGTACGAAGGCTCTAGTCGAGATTGCTCGACTAGGAGATACCCTGAACCCTCCAAGCTGATATTCTTATCATTCTGCACTTCTTTTATGCACGCACACATACATTTACATGCATCCACCCTCACGCGCCTGGGCTCTGCTAACTGCGCAGTAAGCAGCGACAGCGCTTGGGCTGCGCGCTCAATGTGGGAAATATTATGAGAATTAATTTGTTGTAAAACTTCTTTTGTAGAAACACAATCTTAATGAAATTTCTGTGTGTACATTCCAAGGCACAAGTCTCTAGTACTTGAAATACGTTTTTACAAATTTGGGGAGAAGGGGGCGTGGCATCCAAAATCTGTTACAAAATGTTTGTATGAATCATTTGTATATACCCAGTAAATCTAAAGTCTCCAAGTCAATAGTATTCCAATGAGGCTCAAAAAACAAAATTAATTTTTCGATCAAAAATGTACATATATACATATGGGGTCTGCGATGATTCCTTCTGCCTGTTACATACTTTTCACAAAACCATTATACTCCGATTTCCCATTTTCAATGGGCTCAGGGTATAAAAATATTGCAAACAATTGCAACGTACTTTTTCAAAAAATTAAATAAACAAAAAAAAAACAAAATTATTGGCAAGTAAGAAAGCCTTAGTCGAGACTGCTCGACTACGAGATCCCCTAAGCCCTTCGATATTTCTGATATTTCAATAACTATTCGCACATGCACACACGCAGCATACGTACAGGCATACGCACGCACTCATAAACACGCATTGGCTGCAGTGTGGGCTTACTATTGAAATTCAAGTGTTTAATATCTTTTCTTGTCGACGGACTATCTTCATGAAACTTTCAGATTATAATTATAAATATACAAATACAAAGGTGATGATGAGGGGATCTATATAGAGGTGGGGGATAATTTTAACAAATTGTATAAAAGGCATTTAAATATATATTTAAAATTTGGAGGCTTTAGCTTTAAAGATGTAGGAGATATAAATATTTAACTGATTTTCGACAAGGTTTTTATCGATAAAAAAATAATGAGAGGATTACTGATTATCGATTTTTAGAGATAAACTCGATATCCGCGCTTTATATACGGACTATCTTAAAAACAAGTAAGAACGTTGCAGTCGGGCGGAATACTCATTCACAGTCCTTTTGTAAATTTAATTTGATTTGGCTTTAAAAAAAATTAGTACAAAACAATTATGCTTTTTGATTATATTGTAGCTTTTGGTAATTTTTATCGAGTAATCGATACATTACAAAAGCGCGCTTTTTAGCATTCTAAGAATTGCGATTGATTTCTGGATTTTCT